TGGTGGCAAAGACAGTTCCAGTCAGAGTAATGCTGCGAATTTATCTCATCTTTAATAACAGTTTAACTCGGTATAAAAATCTAACTTGACTCTTATTTTCTCTTAAGGCTCTCAAGACTTAGTCCACTGTCTCGTTATCAGTTGCCTACCCGTTCTTCCTTGAAAGATCATCTCTTTTTCATCTTTGGTGGCTTTTAGAACCTGTTGGTTTTTCCATTCTCATGGGTCTTAGGATGGATTTATTCATTATATTTGGGACACCCCATGCTTCCTGACTCTAAGGGGTCCTGTCTCTCAAATATCTCTATTTTCTTTGTTTTGGAATTGGTCAGATATGTTGGGCCCTCTCATTCCACCTCCCTCTGTCATATTTTTCAACTCACTAATTTTCTCTTATCTGTTAACTTTTAAATTTCTGTGAGTAGGCCGGGCGCAGTGGCTCACGCCTGTAATCCTAGCACTTTGGGAGGCCTAGGCGGGCGGATCGCTCAAGGTCAGGAGTTCGAAACCAGCCTGAGCGAGACCCCGTCTCTACCAAAAAAAGAAAGAAATCAATTGACCAACTAAAAATATATATACAAAAAATTAGCCAGGCATGGTGGCACATGCCTGTAGTCCCAGCTACTCGGGAAGCTGAGGCAGTAGGATCGCTGAGCGCAGCGAGATGAGTGGTCGCCCTGTAAGCCAGGCCGCACCACCTCTAGCCTGGGCAACAAAGTGAGACTCTGTCTCAAAAAAAAAAAATTCTGTGAGTAGTTCTCATTTCTAAAAAGATTTTTTGGCATTATGTTGATCATTTTTAATTTCTTCTTGTATGTCTCATCTCAGGCAGCCACTAACTCAGGCATCTGAAGTCCACTGCTGTGGCCACGGGGATCGTAGGCAGCACTGGCTGAAGGTCTGCCCCGGGGCTTTCCAGACACCGTGGGTGGGGTACATGCAAATCCCCAAAGGCAGGCCTGTGGTTGGACGTTTTCAGGAGGTGACGTTACAGGGGACTCTAGACACTGGGCTTCCAGGGAATGACGGGTGTATGGGCCTCTCTTTCTCGAAGAACACCTTTGCATAGGACTTCGTTTTGACTCTTAGCTCTTGGAGGGAAGACACTCAGCTGTCATACAGGGAGCTAAGAGAAAGGGACTGGTTTTCCCTCCCGCATGGGGAAGACAGAGGCCAAGCGCACAGGGCCAGGGAGCCTGCAGCCCGGGCAGCTCACCGCACGGGGAAGCGGGTCCAGCGCACAGGTGGGTGGTGGCCACAGCTGTCCTGGACACACAGGCTGAGGAAGGGCTTGGGGTCCACCCGGAATCAGGACCACCCGAGTCACTGCCCCTGCACGCCTCGTGGGAATGG